GATCGTGGCTGACTAGAGTTTCGGTCTCGATTTCAGTGGTCTTTTTCAGGACTCGTTAGCACCGATATTCGTCGTGATGCATTTTCTTCCAGCAAATGTTGCAGCCTTAATCACTGTATTAGTTATGGACGATAGCCAGCTATCGATGATCAGAAACGAGCTTGATCACCTCGAAGGAAGTCTACGAGGTGCGGGCCAAAACGTCGCTAGAGTTGTATTGAACAATGCACGCTTTTATTGTAACGGCTTTGATTTTCGCTAGAAAATTTGTTCCCGAAGGTGATGACATCCGTTTACATATTGGTGTAAAACGTTTCTGGGAGTGTCGGGATTACAAGTGGCGTGTTTCCGTTTCGTATGGATTGCATGGCATAAATTATCTTTCTGTTTCTCTCGTTCTTCAGCAGTCCTCGTGAGGGCAAAATTATCATAGCTTTCATATTAATTAGAGCTTTTAGCAGATTTGTCACCGAATAACGTATTTAATTACCCAAGTTTTACGAGAAACTCGCGGAATTTAATTTAGCCAAGATTATTTGTTGAATATTTAATGATCACCATTCGAACTGAAAAATGACGACTTGTAGCATTGATTTGTTTATTGTACCTTCTACGTACTGCATAGCGTTGTTACGATCATTATCTAGATCCAGTTTCATAAGCAAAACGTTCCTATTTTGTGACGAGGTATTCAAACATTTCAACAGGTTTGCTGTAAAGCGCAGCTTATTAAATGTAAAAGAAACAATCCTTATCCGAAAACACGTCTGCATTCACCCTATTCATCCATGTTGCATGCTGGCTTCCGGTCATCGTCCATATTTTATCACAGATTTGTGGCTTGTTGTTTGGCACCTTCAACCTACCAGCTTTTCATTTTCGGCATTCACTCACTGTCAGTCAGGAGTATTCTATGTTTTAAGCTGTATATGCAGCTTATATCGAGTGTTACAAGATCGGAAGAATATGTCTACCTCGAAGGCTGCGATGCGGTGTCGTTAAAAAATGGATCGAACTGACTAACGTAATTTCAATTAACGACTGTCATAATTTATTTTTATCTGTTATTCTAATCAGCGTTAAATTCACCCTAACTATAAATCGGTGAGGTAGGTTGAAGCGTCGATGCTGCCTCGCCATTCGGGAATGACGTCTTTCCGCGATCCAGACCTAGCAAAGTGCTCCAATTCTCCGAATCTGTGGCCTGGGTGATGGTTGGGAAGACGTTTCCAATAGTTCGCGAAGACCGGCACTCCGAATAAACTACCAGACATTTAATCTGAAGTAAACTAACTAGCAACTGCTCACCAATAAATGCCTATGAAGTAAGGTAGAAGAAAAAACAAAACTGGATTTGATCATGAAATGAGTTGATCGTTTGTTGATCATTTGCTTTCGTACGAAACGAGAACGTCCGTTTTGAGACTTAACAGGTTTTTCTTACAGTCTATCCGCATTACACTCCTCTTCTATGGACTTTTTTAAGGGTAGCTTCTAACCGCCCTTGTGGCTTAGTCAGTTGGGCATCGAACCGGCCGTTGACCGATCATGGATTCGGATCCCAGTTTGGGTAATTCTCCAAATTTGCATCCAAAATGAATGAACGAGCTCGATTGCGTATAAGAATTGGTGTAAACTTCTATGCATTGCACTGGCCTCACGCGGCAGATGTTGCAGTCGTGAATATGACACTACTGGCTGATGGCGTCATAAAAAAGATTAGTGTCGCGTCACCGCGAAGGAATGGGATCATTATAGACGTGTGACTGTTATTCAGTTCCAAATACTACAAACTTTCATTTTTTCCTTTCGTACGAAGTCGATTGGCAAAATTCACGATGGCCTTAATGGCAAAAATGACTCATTGTATCATGAGAACGACGACTCAATTATCGTTACCACATCTTACCTCTCAATCGATGGCTAATGTTTTTTCCGCTTAAAGTGGTGGGTGGGCTTTTGTTGGAGACGCGAATTTAAGTGACAAGACAAGCTTATTTGACAGCCAGACGTACGTCCAAAAACGGAGGTCGGCTGTACGTAGCGAAGTGAATCACCTCACAAGATATATGCCAACGAGAAAAATGCACAAAACGAATCACGTCTTGTAACCACGGCTCATATGGGTGGCTTGAAAATGCATGGCTGCGGGTTTTGGTCAAGCCTAACGAATAGCACCATCCATACAGTGATCATTACACGGATCGATGCTACAGTCATTACAGATGCTGACACTTTAAATCGACTTCAAAGCGAGAATTCTGAATGTGGTAGTGGCCATTCGTTCTATCCGGCTGTAGCGCCTCAGCGCACCTAGCACCGCGGGCCTCGCCAGCCAGACGTGCTGTCGGAAAGAACTTCAATTGTTGGTTTGAGATTTTTGCATCATACTTCGTCCTCACTCATGCCTCGTGCACTCTTATTAATCATTGTTTTTGTGTGCTTACGAACGAACGCACGCAAAGCATCGTCGATGTGATTTAGCTGTAAATAGCGACGACAGACGATTTCCCGATTATGACGTTGTGGTCGTTCATCCGACGGTGATTTGGCAATTTGTTGTGCTCGGTCCGTCGACCGTGTTCAAGAGTGGCTTTTCGCTGTCGAAGTCGTTGCTGTTAGCGGTGAGGCGAAACATGAAGTTGCAAACGAATACCTCACAGGCTGCAGTAGCGCTGCGCCGTCTCGCCAAATGTACAACTTTTTGTTTCGTTTCAATGCTGTCCTCGTCGATCGAGGGCAGTGGCCCGAGATCGCGAAATTCCAACGCTCACATTTCAGGTTTACGGACGCAAAAATGGCGGAGTAGAGAGTAGATTACGGTGGTTATTTCTGTCTTGCGAGATCATATCATTCTCTTTCCAGCGATTGTCAAACACTCTGGTCGAAAAAGACTCTCTTGTTGACCAAACTTCGACCGGTTGTCGTAAGCAGAGACGCTAATACTTCAAGTCAGCTGAAGTGTCCACGGCTAAAGAAAAATAAAAGTCAGCCGAATTTGTCCGTAACCAATGGAACCAATCAAAAATTGGTCTTCGGCTAAAGGGGACATTGCATATTTTGGCGATGAAGCACTATATGTGACGAATACTCCGCCTCTTTTGTGATGAATGGAAGCTTGAGACTACAACAAATTTTATAAAAAGGTTTCGAGCGACTGACGCTAAACCCTAAAATTTAGTTTAAAACTGAAAAATGCATAAAAACGGTTTATTTATACACAACACAAATGAATAATCTGGTGATTAACCGGTACCGATATTTTGGCTCGTCTCTCACGAGCCTTCTTCATGGGTCATGGGTTTGATAAGGCTTTTCCAATCCGCGTAATGTTCGTATCCTTTGTCTCGGTTGGCATTTTTGCAGCGCTGGATAACTATGGCTTCTTTGATTCGTCTGCTTAGTCAGTTTCTTCTGTAAATGAACCGTTTGCATGCATTTTTCAGTTTTCAATATGAATAATAACGCACGAACAAATTACTCAAAAGTTAACGTTATGATTAAATTTAAAATATATTGGTTAAGCTCTAGTGTTAATCTGCCACCGATTTTAAATCGATGTATTTTTGTGTATGTACGATGACTTGCTGTGTGCCGTATCAGTTCTGCCCTGACGATGCAAGACGTATCTGGTATTGCGGTGTTCAAATACCTTCGAGCCGTGGCCTGCTTAAATGG